GATTCTTGCTAGAGGTTTTAGCTAATAAACATAGCTGGACTGAATTGGCATTGTTTCTTGGAGTTCCTTGGGCTAGGCCTGACACAAGCATACTCTGGATCCTGCAGGGCATGAGAAGAAGAAATCCAACCCATCTAACATCCCTTCACACATATAAATTGATATGCCTCATGAGCAAGTGAATAAAGATGCTTCATGTGCAAGTAAATAAAGAAATAATGTGAACAGAGAGGAAAAGAGAATTATGTCTGCCTTTGCTATTAGATGATAGCCTGTCCTTGTATCTAGACACAAGTAGAACTTTTAAAATTTTATGAGACTTTTTTTTTCTCATGCACAGTACATCTAAACCAAGCTCTACTAGGTTTTCCAAAGTCCTGCTTATACACATTACCAATGAATCATATTTTCATTGGAAATGACTAGATAGCTCACAGACTTCTGAAAATAATAAAAAGTAATAAAATTAAGTCATTTTCTAAATGTGGTAACTCAGTCTATTCTTAATTAAGCAGTTTTAATAATAGCATTAAAAATGTATTGGGTGTGATTCAGAGAGCAGCTAGTGAAATAATTATGTTCCAGGACAACAGATCCACAGGGCAACTATGTCAAAACACAAGGGTGCCTAATTCAACTTGAATTTGAAGATAACATTTTCCAGCTTTAAGTGGTAATGGACATCTGCATAAACCTGCAGTAAAACTGCTGAAGCTTGTGCCTTCAAGTGAGAGCTAAATTAACCACCATCACCAGGACTGATGAGGAAGCTCTTTTCCTCAGGGAAGAAACATAATAAGCCATGTTACAACAAAACAAACACAATATTCCACTGTTTTACTGGGAGGAAAAGAAGATTCCTGACTGCTTCTCCTTTCTTCCCAGCAAAATGGGTTATGTTGTGGCCGCTGATGGGAAGGAGAACAAAGGAGTATTGAGTATTGAGTATTGAGGAGAACAAAGGAGTATGGCCTCTCCTTTCCTCCTCCAAAAAGGGGACATAATTAATGGGGGTTCATTTTTCATGAGGGAGGTTTTTGTGCACACCCATTCATATTTGTGTGTGTGGGCATGCATGCACCATGGGTGACCCCAATGGCATGAGTGGCAGCTGGAATAGCTCCAGGAATTAAAAGATAGTCCATCTGTGTGCTAAGAACTGAGAAACAGAAGAGTATATGGAAATTACCTGCCTATATTTGAAGGGTCATTTTTTCCCCCTCTTCCTTAAAGAGTGTGTGCACACATTCTCTCTTTCTCTCCCTCCCATCTTTTCCTAGCTGATTCTTTGTCCTACTATTTCTTTACTCCATAAAACTAATTGACAGAGATGTAAATAAATATATATATTTACCATTGCTCTTTCCAAAGGGTTATTCTCAGACCTTGGCTAATCTACCCACTGCCCCCCCCCCAAAAAAAAAGGCTAAGCAGAGTCAAGAGCCTGAGTTTAGTACTTGGATGAGAGGCCACAAGGAAATACCACAGCTATAGAATGGACGGGGAAGTTGAAAATATATCCCCAAAGAGGGCAGGGGCAAATTATTTCCTTACTGTTGACAGGAAAACTACATGGCATGTCTGCAGATCAAAGTCACTACAAGCTCAATTCAAAGGAGACTATACCATTTTATCATCAGATAATTGGATCTTTATTGTAAATGCTTGTTCTTCCACAGACGTCCAGAAAACCACTAGAGGGAGCTATCTTCTAATATGAAAACTAGAGTTTATGTTAAAGTTTTAAAAAGTCTCCATCATATTCAAAATGGGGCAAAAAACAGTGAACAGAACCCACAACATAGGATAAATATCAATCAGTGTTTCTCAAACTTGGCAACCTTAAGATGTGTGGACTTCAATTCCCAGGCAGCAACTTCCCCAGGCAGCATCATAAAGTTGCCAAGTTTGAGAAACACTGATATAAATGAATTAGACCATAAGAGACAACTCTAACTACATTTTCAAGGGAATTTATCTTTAATTTTACTTCAGTGTGGCTGTTCTAGAAAGTTAGCCTAATCCTAAACAGAATTTGTTGAGTTTGAATCTCATTATTTTCAACAGGTTACAGTAGGCTTTTCCCACTTGGTGCCTTCTAGATGTGCTGGAAATTTGGGGAGTTTGAATACAACTGGAGGACAATAGGTTGAGGAGGTTAGCTTCTCTACATAAGATCTGGAAAAATCCTTCTAACAATGCCATCCTATAAGTGCATAATACTTAATCCTACAGAACTATGTACACAATTGCAGTTTAACAAGTCATATTTCATGCTCAACCATCTGACATCTTTTATCAGATGTAACTCAAGTAGAAAGGGTTCTGTTGACTCATGTTAGTTCTCACAGTGAAATGAAAAGCAATTGAACACTTGGATTGTTTCTTTGTCACAGGAAAAAAAAAATCACCTGGCTTTCTTTTCCAGTGTGCTCCAGCTCTTTGATAACCTTCAGGTATCTGATTCTCATCTGGTGCATGTCTTTTGCAATCTGTACAGAAATCCAAATAGAAATAATAAATTCATTCTCACACTATCCTGCAACTCAATACAGATCCCTAACAATGTGTTACATATAAAGATCAGTCAACATTTGGATGTACTATAGTATAAGAGGAATACAAAGATGGTTGGACTAGCACAGGCAGGCTGCAAGACCAAAATGATGATACCTTAACTATATTTAATTTTAGTAGGCTGAATCAATTCACAACTGTCGTAATACTGTTCTGAGTTAGCAACTGTGATTTTTAAAATCTGAGACAGGCTTAGAAGTAAAGTGATACAAATGTTTAAAGGGACAAATTGTACATATACAGTATTGCATATGGCTCGGTGGGACGTACAACTAACATTTAATGTGCATATTTTCTATTCATAGTATTGTTCATTGGATGAATATTTGTAGATTTGTGAAATGTTTTTAATGACTTTCATCCAGCAGGATTGTTCAGTAAACCAGGGGTACGGCAACTGTTCAAGTCAGGCACTGCAAGGGAAGATGTCACTTCGATCTTACGCTGTTGAGCACTTCAATAAAAATCTCTCTCTGTTGAACCAGGTATAAATATAGTTCTAGCTTAGGGCAGAATGTGTGTAAAAGACCAATTTTATGTTTATTATTATTTTTTTAAATCCATTCAATCGTGTCCAGTTCTCAGG